GGCAGTGAAACGCACCCTGTTTGGTTCTCTGACAGTTGTCTACAAAGTGGCTAGCAGCTATGCCCATCCATGTTCCACAAATGATTGACACCTCCTGCACAGTAAGTGCGACCACAGCCCAAAAGGGCCCAAGAAAATCCTCACGGGATCTATACACGGAAGCTCGTGCTGTTCTTCTGAGAGGGAGCTTCCTTTTGTTTTCACTTGCAACACCCACGGTCAATGGAAATGGATGGAAATGGACACATGGCCCTGCGATGTTCTAGTGGATTGGTGCGTTTTCTAGCCCAGGAGGATTTGACTCCACCAGAACATAGCCCTTCTACTTTTACCGGAGGCTTTTCCCCTCCTTCCGCTGTGACGACGACTGGCGGCTCCCGAGCACCTGGCGGCTCCCTTTAAGCGCTCGGGCGCCCGCTCCCGGCAACCGGGCGGTTCCACCGGGGCCAAGCGCTGCGGATGTGGCGGGGCGAACGTCCATATTGAGTTTCAACCAAGAGGTACATATGGGATAGGCATCGATAGGCTGTTCAACCTCTCTTGGAAGGTTTGAAATTGGTTCACTTGTCTTCGGGAAGACCAAGTCTGGTCTCTTGCGGGTCATTGCAGTACGGGAATTCAACCGAACTTAAGATAATTGCTGCGTCCCGCGAATAATCAGCGAATCATCAGTATAACCAGGATTTTCTGAAAAGCATCTGAACTCTGGAGACGAGGGTCCAGTTCAACCACGAAAGATAAGTTGAGCGTCTGCCAACACGTACTGCCAAATAGAGGACACGATTCAGCTAATACTGTGTACTGTATATATCGCTTTTGAATGCTTTTGAGGGGGGCTATTGCCTTTGCAGGTTTTAACCCAATTCCTGAAATTCACAACCGCTCTGTACAACATTAATCATTGCTCATTGCTGTGGGTCATGGCAGCAGGAGACCGAGCGGTTGACCTACATGGTGTCTTTTCTTGGCACAAGACGGCGAATTGGTCACCAGCTGCCCCACTCTTAGAGGCACTGGCTATAAATGGATGTAGCCAGATTTGAGATTATTTGAGTGATGTACCACTGGAAATTGAAGTGTCCATGACTTTCTGGCCAAACCCAAATAAATCATGCCAAGGGTCCATGCCTCAGACCCAATCATTCACCAACCATGGGTGGAAGAGCCGACTTGAAAACCCCAAACCGGGCAGTCTCGGATTTCCATCGCGATGACGGTGCCAGAACGGTGCCAAAACCTGGACCAACACGGGTGCAAAACCTGGACCGGGTATTCCAATTCTGCAATTGAGCGGAGATGTCTGCATTCTTGGGGCTTCTTTTCGAGCCAAGAATCACACATCGACCCTCATTCATCCATCATGTCATTCGGCTCGCGAGACTGAAACCGGGACGCTTGAGCTGTAGACTAGATCTCAATGCCCAGCTCACCAGGATCAGGTGACCCGGGAAACGACCGTGAAAAGAACATCCCCTGCTCACCCCCAGTGGCCGGAGTGGACGAATCACCTCCCTTCAACCTGAACTGCTCACCTTCCCTGCAATGTGGATGTGATGGACCTACAAGTACGTGTTCTCCACACATAGACAAAGTTCAGGAGACAACGCAAGTCAACCAAACCATGCCAAGCCACCGCTCTGAAATATACAAATTTCCGCATCCATGCACATCTTACAGCTACTTCACAAGAAGTGGAACATTTTTTACAAGGTTCACTGAATTGTCTTGGCAACACGTGTGCAACATGTGCCCAAAGTGCTCATTGGACTGCCACAAACTCGGAATCTGTCACCAGCGCAGCACCCCTTGCAAAATGATTGGAACAACATTTCGGGAGAACCTGTCTACTCATCTAGTCTTGGTACTGCCTGTCTCGGGGCCAGTCGTTTCTTGTAGGTCACCCGATGCATCAAACCGCGTCCACGCTTTAAATCTTTACTTCGCAGGATCACACTGAATGACCCACGCCGCGTCGCCGGACGCAGGGCGACACGATCGAGCGTTTTCCTTTCTGAACCTAACATCTTGAAACATGTTTGGTTGACGAAAGTCTTGCTCCCGAAAACAGCGCGAATTCCGAAATCCTTGCGTGCTGCTTCATGTTTTCTATATAATCTACACTAACGGTGACTTGCTTTATGGTATGGCTTTGTTCGTTTCATAGCAAAATACACTAGCGCATACTCTTGTACCTAAACTGACTAAAGCTGCCGACGGCACTGCTAGATGAGCTGCTCTCTGTACTGCTGCTTTGAGCTGTTTGCTCTGCCGACTCGTGTGGGCTTCGGCGTTTGTCAAGTGCCGCTCATGCTTTGCCTAGGAGCGTTGGCGCATTTGGTTCCTATTGGGTCTGTCATTTGGGCCGTGCACTACCGGGCACACATTTCAGCAATTTCTGCTAGCGCGGAGCTAGCGCGAGCCTAGCGCGAAAAGTCTCGAACATTTACCTGGCTTAGCCGTGGCAAAGACAAGGTGTGAAAATGGAGAAAGCAAGCTCACTAGGAATAGTGCGACATGCCAACCATTTGAAGTTGTGTCCTTGCTCCTGCTAGCGCCCTATGAAACTGCACATCACAGATTATATACACATGTGGTCCGAGCAAATGGCTTCCAGCAATCAAAATAAAATTCAAAAAAGCACAGGCGCGCCACAAGCGCCACGCTAGCGCCTAGCTTGTGTTTTGATTTTAGCGTGCCGCTTCATACTTTGCTTTTAACATCTATCATCACAAAAACTAGTGTTGCAGCCATTTTATATAAATATATATAAACTCCTTAGCACCGACTTTTGGCATCCAAACACATGACCAAAACAGGACACCCCAGGGAGCTCCCAGTGCTACTCTCAGGTATTGATTTCTTTTCAGATCTCTTCCAGCGTACTCAACATTCATCGATGGTGTCGCCAGAGTCAAGAGTCTTCTCAAAAGACAATGGTGGTGGGACCTTGCTTGGCCAAAGGAAAGGACCCCAGCAATGCTGCTGCTGTTACTGGCTGCCAGCAACCGCACCTACAGCTTGCAAATTAAGCTCGTGCACTGTGCACGTCTTGGAATGGGACATCGCAGTGATTTTGCGGCCGACCATCAATTCAGGGGAGTCCGATGTGGGGTCATCCTGATCTAAAGATGTGTTTCATGATGTGCTCCTGTTTTCGGTTTCGGCGTCTGGACAATGAGTCTATCAACCCCTGGTTTGCCCCGATTCTCATCTACCACTGGGCTTTCCGAGTCTATGTGGTCTTCTGCAGGGGGGTTGATGTAAAGGAGTGACGATCCGAACGTACCAGGACCATCCGACCATCTGACCATCTGGGTGTCCTGGCGTTCGACGCCCCCCCAGCCCACTACTATCCGAGATCTTCAAACAGGACACCCGAACAGGATGGTCCAGGTATGTAGCTCATTGAATGACAGGTCACGGTCACGGTCATGGTCTGATCGTGAATCGTCTGTTGGCTATCCCGCTCAGTGGATGTAGAACACACGGAGTCTAAGACTGGGAGCATTCATTAGTAAACACCGAATCGATACCCAACATAGGTACCCTCTGACTCACTAACATGGAAGTGGAAAACCACCTGTTTGTAGTGGAAAATGGTCTTCCCTCGGGCCATTGTCCATTTCCATGTTAGTGAGTGGGAGTGTATGTAACTTGACCATCCATGGAATAGCTACTTACAGTAGGGTCATAAATTCCATACATGGATGGTCTCATATATGATACACTGTGAATCTGTGAATCAATATGGTATATATATATATACATTCAAGTCGGAAAGGGACCATGAATGACTATGACACATTTACACACCGGCACGGACAAAAGAAGGTCATCCGAACCTGCCTTTGGAAACTCTTCTTACGCCTCATCTGAAGTCCAACCATCCTTTTCCAAAGAATTGGACTGGTTTGCAATCGGATAGAACAACAAGCGCTTAATTGAGACGGCTTCGAAATCTTCTCAGAAGCCCATAGATAGGAGTCCTCATTCCACAAAGCATGCCGACCTCAGACCTGGTTCTGTGCCTCGTTCGCCTCACCATTCTGGACTTGCATGGCCTCAGGCCCCGCCGCGGTGTCCGAGATCAGGCAGCTGGGAATGGTGAGGAATCAAATCAGGGACATGGGATATCCAAGTGGCTGCATTATAGACCACTATAAACCCGCTCCAGCTGGCTACTTGGCGGGATGACAGAAATCGTCATTCCGAACGCCACTCACCACCCTCGTCGGTCACTTGTTTGGACTAGGTAGCCTACATCACTTGGATAAAGACTGTAACATCCTTTGGGAGCCAGGAGTATGCTGAATGGCATGGTCATGTCGCTGGTCATAACACCTGCGCTCTGGTCGTGTCCCTATGGTCAGAATGCAATCTTACTTGGGGTAGGCAAAATGTACATACAATACATGAAGTGCTTGGAATAAACAGAATTCTGAAGCTTAAACAAACAACGATCACTGATGAGCTACTACCCGCACTTGTTATATTCTTGTTATAGTCTTCCATTTGGACACCCTTTGGAAGGTCCAGAGTCCAGCGATCTCAGCTAACTCTTGTGGATTTTTGCTAAAACCTGACGAAGCCTTGGACCTTCGACGAGATCCTTGGACCAGTGTCACGACCAGTGTCACGAGGGGGTTCCAACGGGATCATTCATACCACAGAAGTAACATATTCAATTAATACCCGAATTTTCTACCACCTATCTGATCTAGACCTCCCTGATCCAGTCCACGATTCCGTGTTGGGGATTAATGACACATCTTGGGTGCAAAGATGAGATCTCCCCACCAGAAACAACGGCCAAGGAGTGCGAACTACAGTACCTCTCTTTTCTGGCCTAGGCCGGCCTCGAGAAGAAACGGATTCCAAATGGATTTATACCAATTCCAACCGAGTGGTCCGAGTGGCAGAGGAAGGTGCACAAAAGGCCAGGAGAAGGAATAAACATGGCAAGCTCACCACTGCCAGCAAACTTGCATCCATGACCGCAATGATGCCTGGCTTTCAGCGCTGCAGACTGTCTGCGCTGGAGTTTCACAGCGCCGCTGGGCCGCTGCTGTTTCGTCAGAGGTGGCGGCGTTTGACGCGAGTGGCTTCGATCTGAAGTCGGGTTGTGAAGAGGTACCAGTAGTCTGAAGCTACTAGTACTAGCAACAAGGGCATCGCTACTAAGTTGCAAGGGCAAGAAAAAACGCCAAGGCCGCATCATCTTCCAATAGCGTGCGTCACGTCCAGGCTGAAACATGATGGACTCTCCCAAACGAAAAAGCTTAGTGCCATTTAGTACCGTTTTAGGGCGGCAAACTCAACCCTTTTCAACCAAAATGACCTGCCACCAAGGCACCTACCAGATCGTCCACCTTGCAGTTCATCAGCGAGTTCCAGGAATGCCTCAGCCCGTTTCCACCGCTGGTGTCTGTCATCTTTCGCCCAGAACCCAACAGCCAACAGCTTCCACCCTGGAACCGGAACATCCCGAACATCCTGAATATATACCTTAAAACATCCCGAACATCCACACGGCACTGTTTTGGCCGGTGCCGAGTCGGTGGCGAAACCAGGGACCACGTCGCCACCGGTCCGCGCCACGCGGACTGCTGGGCGGGGCTTGGGCGGGCTTAGGCCATGAGTGCGACCAAGTGACACCAACAGAAAGGTCAGGACAAACGCTGAAAGCAAAGCTGCTGTACAAGTCTTCCTCGGAACCCAAACCGGGCTCCCAAACCAGGCTCTACAAGCCCAAGCCTTACAGAATCAATTTGGTTCTCTGATCCAATGCACACGGCCTGATCAATCTGACCTGTACCTGCCATCCTCAGACCTGTACCTGCCATCCTCAGCCAGCCACGGATTTCTTTGGGCTGTTTCAGGTTTGAACCTTGAAGAAATGCTCTGCGCCACCCGCCGTGCAACCCGTCAGGTCCCGCGCCCGGCCCCCCAAAGTTCCGACCTCCAACACCGGGACCAAGCAGAACCCCCCCAAACACCGAGCATCCCGATGGAGTTCACCGGGTCAAGCACCTGAAGGGGTCGAGCACACGCGTCCGGCGGACTGTGGGCGCCCATGCACGCATTGACTTCTTCTGTTGTTCAAGGGTCTCCAATAGACTACTGACTACTGTATACACTAATACTTAAATTCTATAAATCTACTACTGTAAATCTGCTTGCAAATCTTCATGGAGCTCCCCTTCGAAGGCGATTCTTACACATGTTCAACCTGAGACATCCTAAAACTGTTTCTCTGCACCCAGGTGCGATCCTTCAGCTTGACTTTTGGATACTTTTGGTCCAAAGTGAACACCGGATCACCTGATCATCTCCGAGCCCAAAGAATCACCGATCACTACCACTGGTAGCGTGGCTTGAGGCACATGGCGCCGCGTGGCGAACCCGACCCGAACCCGAGCCTGAGAGGTGCTGGCTTGTTCCTCTCTAACGTTTCCACGAACGCTTACGCCAGTGCCGCACTGTACTTGCGTACGTGCCCTCCTTCGTGGAACACGTCTCGCGTAGTCCGCGTCGCACGACACACGTCGTGGCACACGGTGCGCCTGCGAGACCAGCATTACCAGCAAGGTGCTAGCAATCCAGCCAAGGCCGATGCTCACCAAAGTCGCTGCCGTGAGATTCCTGACGCCAACCAGGGCGATTCTCGCTAGCGAAATGAGAATCGCATGACTGCCGGGAGGGTCACCATGATCTGCTGCCCCGAAACCAAGAAAAGCCTTCAACAATTCTAACATTGTCCCCAGATGGCCTTCGGCAAGTCACGTAACCTCCAGCAAAGAGAAAAGCAACTTGTTTTGGAACAGGAGGGTTCAATGTGGATTCACCAAGAGGCGGGGATTGCTAGTTATGCATCACTGCGCATTGCAAGGATAGTGGGGCCAGTGAATCTCAGCAGCAAAGAAGAAGAAGAAGAAGAAGAAGAAGAAGAAGAAGAATGCCGGGCCGAGAAAAAGCAAACGTCTGAACAAAAAAGAAAACTTTCCTGCATAGCGCTTGAGCATCTGGCATGATGCCGGCTTAGATTTGCCTGAGGATATGCTCCTAAATGTACAACACACACACACACACTGACGACTATTATATGATATTATATGTATTTTGTGTGCATGTGTGTGAGACTAAATTGTCATGGCGTATAGGCGAGACAACCCGCTTGAAGTATGTTGACTATGAACTGCCACATTAAAGAGAGTGCTTTGTCAAAAAAATATTTGAACAAGGATTCATTCGCCTGGCTGGTTGGTTGGGAGTTGACCTAAGTAGCAATAGTCAAAGCTAGAAACAAAAGCAGTAACCGACTATATATTCCACTCTCTATCTCAAATCCCCAAGAAAGGTGCGGTTGATCGAGTTAGCCCAACCATATGCAATTTGAGCCTGGAAGGAGTTCAGCCCGGAGTTCTGGTGATGGTCAGGAGAAGACCCTAGAACACCTTCTAGAAGACGTGCTAGAAGAAGGGTGGTAAGGTAAGACGAACACCCTAGGAGCTGCCCGATGGAGTATTCGAACATTTCTCAAGCATCCTCTGCTGACTCTCTCCCGTGCCAGCTGTGCCTGCACCACCCATCGCGCAAAAAGAGCCAGCAGGAGATGCAGGAAATCGTCCTGATGACAAAGAGCTGATGGACCCAGTTGCAGGAGACTTTGAAGAAGCCCGGTTGTCTTTGCCTTAGGATATTTGGTCAAACATTATAAGCACCAACGGTAGATACAACATGCATAAATAGTTTTCATTTTCTTAGGTTTTCTGTAAAAAGATGTAAAAGGTAGACTTAGAATTTTAAAACAAAACGGTGAACACGCACCGTGAGCTCCATTGAAAAGTCTCTGGGCATTGTTTCTAACCATTTGCGACAACTGTAGCGACCTGGTTGCCCCAAACTCACAAATCGGCCTGGGCAAATCAGTGAGGCTCGAACCCGCATCAGCTGTACGGTGCAGGTTGGTGTCGGTTCTTTTCTTCGAAAGGAAAAGAACATGTTGTCTCGTCGTGGTTGGTCTCCTAGCATCTCCTAGCGACCATCAACAGCTTGATGAAACGAGTATAGAATTCCTGTACTTGGACCCTCCAACATGTGTTTCCATGGTGACAACAGGTGGCCAAATACCACCTCTTACGGTCCTAACACCACCTGTTTGAAGGTCCTTGTATAATATATATATATATATACATAATATACATTAATAATTACTATAATTAATAGTGTTACTAATTCTTTATATATAACAAGCAAAACGAGGTACAAGGATTCAAGAACCGAATGGCTCAACGACTAGGGTAACACAGGCCATGAAAATGGACCCCTGTAACGACTATTCTCAATTACAAGTACTAGCCAGTGGTTTTCAGGGTCCATGTGCTCCTCTGCAGGAGGATTAATGTTGGATCATACGTACAACATACAATAGAATCTCCCTTTGCATTTTACCAGTCCCATACACACACACATACACACGCACCATCACAAACACCAGTCACCCCGTGGATTCCTTCTGGAAAGATCAACATTTGATCGAACAACTCCTGACATCCATCCAAAAGGAGAAAGTGGCGAAAGCCACAGAAGTGGAGTCACCGCTCCATTCGCCGACAGTCAGGAGTAGGATCTCCAGTTCCTCCAGTTGCTTCAGCTCTGAAAAACCCTTCCAGGCGTTCTTTGGACTTGGGTCAGCCCAGGCACATGGTCGTCACAACGACGCTGAGTAAACGAGTGTGGATCTGTACCTGGGGTCCGGAAAGGACGTCTTTTTTTTTGTCGGAAACCAACACCGAAAACAATCACCAGGTAGAAAGAACAACATCAAGACGTTTCTTTAACATATTTAATCACCATTGCAGATAAACAACCGATATCACTTGGTGTGTTGAACTGTTCTGTTGAACAACATGTAAAAGTTTCAGAAACGTTGTGCTCTTCTGTAGGAACTTGAGAAAAAGGAATGATGTCAGAATGTCCGAGATGCGCTTGATGACCATCACTGCCTTCCTGCTTGCTGGCCATCGATTAAAAATCTGTACATATCCAGGCGAATCCCTATAGAGTACTTGAGAGAGGAGGGGGTGAACGAAAGGTAGCAGGCAATCACAAGTAACCCTGGTAGAAGTCCATGACGGCGTGAACCGGCGCAGGGGGGATTTGATCTAGGGGGGAGGCCCCCCCCCCGACGAACAGAATCAACTCTTACAGGACGAAACTCAATGCACAATCCCAACTCCTGATTGTAATACATTTTTGCTAAAGCAAGGAGAACTCAGGTAGCTCAAGCTACCTTTCGTGATTAGTACAGGAACCGCCACGATGATCTCAATCGTTCTGAGGCTTTGAAGAGCCGAGGAGGGATATGTCCATTATATTTGGACAACCTGCTGAAATACAGGCAGGATTCCAACCAGCATGGACTGACAATGTTGCTTAGGTATGTGTATATACAATTACATACAGTATAATTATATATTACATAGAAAAAAAAAACTTATGAAACAACGACCATTGTTGTTTGTTATGTTTTATGTTCAATGACATTCAATGACACATCTCCACCCTTCCTTTCTCTTCACCCCTCTGCTCATCCAGGAGTCGGATCGTCCGACAGGAGACAGGACACGACACCCCTGTCCTCGTCGACCTACCGTGCCGTTGGGGCCAAGGTGCAAGGAGCATCTCATCACTGATGCCGAAGAAGCAACCCACCAGGACAGTCGACAAGAAGGCGCAAAAGTAGTTGATCGGATGTCTGGCAAACAGGAAGGGCCACGAGGATGTACAGCAGTTTAGGGCCAAAGCAAAATTCTGGGTTGATGGGGTCTGGTTTGTGATTGTGCTTGTGTGCTCTTGTGTGTATGTGTCTTCCGTAAATTTCTCGTGTTTCATCAAGAAGTTCCTGCAAGTCACCAGAGAACCGTTTCAAACAAAGTTTGCACGTCCCGTGTGCAACGGATGTCCACCAGGTGCATGGCCACAGCACTCTCATTGTTTCCTGTCGCTACTCATGCTACTCAGGTCAAGGCAGTGGGATCTGGTCCCTCGAACTCAACCTGAACCACCAAGCCTTGACCCGTCCTGCGTTCAAAACCCTGTCCTGTTGCGCAACCACCACTGCACCACCAACATCATCATACACAGGAAGCTCAGGCCATAGTAAAAGCCCAACAGGATGCCAGGCTGGTTCATCGGCATCCTTGGATCTGCTCTGCAGAAAAAGAAACATCTTCAACTTCACCGGTGTCGGGGATTCACCCCTTCTTTCAAAAAAGAAAGAACAACCATCAAGCTCTCTCTTCGGAAAAGGCCTTTGTCCTTAAGGCTTCCCCGTGTTCCAGGCGTCACATCCGCGAAGACCGAGGTCGACGTGCCGTTGTTGGGCACGTAGGCCATGAAGTGGAACTGCTCGCAGAGCCTTCCACCCGATCCGATCGGCACCGAGCTTCGGTGTAAGGTCCACACTCGGCACGACTAGTGACTAGCCCCAAAAAGGGGGCACCGCAACAACACCGATCGCGCATGCATATAGATATACATTAGGTTGCTTATGCATATAGGCATATACATCATATACATATCCGCAAGGGCGATGGCTATCACCTGCGAATCTCAACTTGAAAAGGAAGTATGAACAAGATCTGCATGTTCCAGCCGGCCTTCTTGGGCCTTTTTTCCCATGTCAGAAAGACATGTAAAATTATTGAATTAACCATTTAAGATATTTAAGGTGCAAGTGCAAAAGTCCTGCCCCTATCACTATATTGTCATGTCATCATGAGAAGAGGATTCGCAACGAATCACATTTCGGTGCGCAACGAATCGGCTTCACCTGCGCGTTCGATCGCATCCGCTCGTGCGCTCGTCTTCTCACTCTGCTTGCTCCTGGTGGGTTCCTCTCTGGCCGACCCCCACCGCCCCATCACCGCCTATGAATCGGGAGCATCCTCAGGTGACAAGGGTCGGTTTTGGCGCGCGATCTGTCGCCATGCGGCGCGAGCTCTTTTCACTGTATATATGTGTGCCGTCCAAACTCCGGTGGTGGATGTGTTTTTCCCCCATGGTTTTCCCTTTTCTCACTTCACCTCTGTTGGGGCTTGTGAACATCCCCTGGTGAAACCAGTCTTGAAATCCGCTTGTGGTTGGATGGCACCGGTGGGAAAGGCTCGACTCTCAAAATGCGATGTAAGGTCCAAAAGCTGTCTGGCCTCGGGAGACATTGGAGCTACGAATTGAACACGGGTCACAGCATCACACCATTTAGAGCACATGTGTCACGATGCCACTGCTTTCCATAGCCGACCAACAAACTAGAAATCATTCTGGTGTCCAAGGCTCTTAAAAAAACGAATGAAATACCAAAATGATTCCAACTGCTTGAACTGGACCTGGTCCGTCAAAGGTTCTCTGATTCCAACTCTTGGTCAATAGGGTTCGATGGTTCCTCGGACATGGGGAGAACAAAAGGACGTGTGTGCAACGGATAGTTGGATATACTGTAGTTGGTCTGCCTTTCATTGGACCTTTTGCTAGGCTTCATTGCTTTGATTGGACATCCGCCGCCGGAAAAAACAAGAATGACACTCCTCTTCGTTTACTGGGGCCGAACGACTCCACGTCCGGGGCTGGGAGGACCAGGGCCGGAAAAACCCAAGCATCAAGGCGAGGCAGGTGAGGATCTGCAGGGCCAGTGCTCCGAACATCTTCACCACAAAGGCTCGTTGCACCTCAGAATCCACTCTGCTCAGTCACCCTTCCGTGTGATGAAGACGGTCCTGGTGTGGTTCTTGAAGACATGGAGACCCCCCCCACCCGGACGCCCGGCCCTGAGACCCGCCCCTGGATGATGGGGGCCTCTATATTGCCAAACCCACATCAATCAGGACATCATGTTCGTGTAACACGAGCGACCTCCTTCTATCTTTCTCAACCAGGCACTGGGAACATCAGTGTTCCAATGTTTGTCTGAATCCTTCGCCCTTGGCATGTACCCCAATCTTCAAGAACAAAACATCTGGAACGCTTGGGACCAAACCTCCGGAGGGTCTGCATTGATGTTCTCGGAAGGCAGGTTGTTTTTCAATTATATTATAAGCAAAAGTAACTCAAAGAGCTAAAACGACGCTAGCAAGTGCAGGTCGCGAGGCGCCTCGGCGGCTTCATCGATAGTAACAATGCATGTTTAGATGTATACATGGCCTGGAATTGAGATGCAGCTGAATATACTGCTCACTGTACCCCTACATAAAAATCTGGTCGTCTCAACATATGCCTGTTGGACCCAGATGACAACCCCAGTTTGACCCCGAACCCAGGTCGTCCCGTCCGGGGCGAAGCGGCGAAGCGCGACACGATGCGAGTTTCGCGTGGAACTGGTGAGGGAAGCTTCCGAATGGCTTGTGGTTTCGGAAGATGAAGACATCTGGATATCCCCCCCAGATGCCAAATGCGAAGCACCGGTTCACCAAGCTTCACAACCCTTCCATGTTTTTGGAGGAATTCCCTTGTGCTTCGCTCGCTCGTGAAAAGGGGACCATGGGGGGGGGGGCGCTGCACGTGTGCCAAGACACATAGAGCGGCATCTTCCCCGGCTGCGAGGGCCATCTCCTGAGACAGACGGGAGCTCTGGTGGCCGAGAGTGAACTCGCTTTGTGTCGCAAGTGGTTCCAAAGCTGGTGAAGGAGCCACACAGCGTTTGGAAATGCGGTTGGAAGGTGTTTTTTTTACAAAAACATGTTGTGCCTTATGAACAAAAAACAAGTTAACTGT